ATGTTTGGCTGCCTCTCGCACATCCCCTACCAGGGACCAGCCTGCAAGCCAGGCATGTGCCCTGACTAGGAATTGAACTGGCGGCCCTTTGGTTCACAGGCTGGCACTCAATCCACTGAGCCACACCAGCCAGTGCAGGTTAGGCATCCTTCTTATTGAACTTATACAGTCATGTGTTACTTAATGACAGGGATACATTCTGTTATTGTGTCATTAGGCAACATCATCATTGTGCGAACACCAAAGAGCACTTAAACAAACCTTGAAGGTACAGCCTTCTCCACACCTAGGCTATGTTGTATAGTCTGTTGCTAAAGACTAGACATTTGAAAAGAATTAATTGAAGTAATGGATTTTGTGGATGTTGACATTGCTGTGGCATTTTCCCTACTCTCCTAAAGATGGGGGAAGGTGATTTAGTTAGCCCCTCCCCCTTGTAGGAGAAGAAATGAGCATGTTTTCCACATGTCATATATCTGCTGAGCTGCTCAAATTCCAACAAGTTGCCCTGGATCAGAGAATAAAGGAGTTCTTAGGAGAACCTGCCTGCCACGTGTCCTCAGTAGTTTAGGTTTTGTATGAAAGCATGGACACCGGTACTTGTTTCTCACCTGGGTAAATTTTGAAGGATATAGGCTGGCTGGAAGATCCAAGGTGGTAAGGTGAAGGTAGAAGGGTTACCAGTTATTTAAGTTGCATTTTCACTATTTAGTAAGGCAAGAATACATGTTCTTGGTGGACCAAGTAGGTGGTGCAGAAGGTAGCCAGATGTGAATCATCTTGAAAACATACCAACAAGGAGGGCTGTCTACTTGGGTAAGAAGACCCCAGGAGTAAGAAGTTGCATGGGATGTGACGCTAGGAGGCGATAGCTTAGATGTGATTGTGAGACATCATCCAGAGACTGTATTATTCATCTAGGAATGGTATACTGTGTGGGACCCCCAGACAACTCACAAGAAGATTGGGATTTGGAGGCTTGCCATTAGAGAAAGCAAGACTTAGAATACAACAGTGTCAGTCACATACAACTTTTCCCCCATCTACCCTTTCGCCCTCAGCCCTCAACAATAGTGAAGTAAGTAACAGGATTGGGAGGAGAATTGGAAAAGCAAGAGGAGGAACAGACAGTGTGCCCGCCTCCCTGTGCTTCCTCAAGCCAAAGGTCAGGCCTGAGCTGGGGGCAAGGGAGGGAAAGGCCATTGCATTGGGTGTGACTCTGAAGTTTGTTTCAGGATAGATAAAGATCCGGTGATGGCTGTCTAAAGGACCACCAATATTTTAGCTGTCTATTAAACTGTAAAATCCACAGTTGTTCATTCTGCGTCTAATGGCCTGCCGTGTAGTCATTGAGACTCTATGGCATCTTACTGAAATACCTTCCAGGGGCAGGGAAAACAAGAACAAACAGAGGATGTTTAATGGCAGTGACTGGGGAAAAAACAAAGCCATCCCTTATTCAGGCCCTCTGGAACTTAACTCATTCAATAAACAGTCTACCTGTGAAAAACACACGGTGTACACACGATCATATGATACACTTCGGCTCCTCTCATTGGCAGGATGACTGTACCCAAATAATGAGCCATCCAAAGAATGTGCTGTCTTCTATTCAAAAGGCCCTCTAGCAGTCTTCTAATATAACTTCCCATCATACTGAGAACAATAACAGCAAAAAGAGCCAGAATGAATTGAGTGGGCTAAACACGTTATCCTGGTAACACTGCATCTCATCCTCATGTAATTTTTGAAAGAGGTAGATAATATTCTCACTTTAGAAATGGGTAAATAGGCTTGGAGAGGATGGGTGAAGTGGAGGTTCTGAGTTTTCAATCCAGGTCTGCCTGTGTTTCAAAATATATCTTTGTGGCTATATTCTTAACTTCCCAAAGTCAACTGGAGAACTTCTGGAAAGAGAGACTTAGCTGTACTTCTTTAGAGAAATTCCATTCCTCTACTGTATATGTTATAAAATTATGAGATTCTTCCATATATCAACACTCTAATATTTTTCTGTAAAACTTTTCCCCATGGGCTCTACTTGAAGTCTACTCTAGTTTCTATATGGTCTCACATGGGAGAACATGGCTGTTCATTAGTTTATTTTATCCCTTCACTGAGGATATATCTATCATCTAGTCTGAATCACACACCATTTTAGGTACTGAAGTTTACATGATGAACAAGACAACATTTTTGTCTGGATGGAACGTACATCTCACGGGGCATCTTACCATCAGGGGTGTCCAAACTGCAGTCTGCGGGCCACATGCGGTCCAGGATGGCTGTAGACACAGCCCAACACAAAATGATAAATTCACTTAAAACTTTATGAGTTGTTTGTGTGTGTGTGTGTGATTGCATGCCTCAAGGTATTTACTGTGTGGCCCAAGACAACTCTTCTTCTTCCAGGGTGGCCCAGAGATGCCAAAAGGTTGGACAGCGCTGCAGAACAAACCTCATTCCCTCTAGTCATCCTCAGTGCCTTCTTTTCCACATGGCAAGGTAAGATTTAAAAACTGTGCACATATGCCTTCTAGAACTCAGTAAGACACAAACACTCATATATGAGTATATTGCACTGATCATACTTACAAAAGCCAAAAGGAAATCCTAAATATCCCAGATGGTAAAATAAATGATGATTAACATCAGCTAGACTTACTAAGTCTTTGAAAATTATGTTTGCGATGGATTTTTAATGCCATGGGAAATAGTGTAGAACTATATAAAAATGAGATCTCAGTTTTCTGTGCGTGCACCTGTGTAGGTTTGCCTACAAGTGTGAGTAGAAAAAATAAAGGCTGGAAGGAAGTACACCAAAATCTTTACAGTTCTTAACTGGATGGCCAACATTGATGGTATTTTCTGCATTTTCTATCTTTTCTATAACAAGCGTTCTTACTGTTAAAATGCAATGTGCATGCCTATCTGTGAAGGGCATTGCCATAGGCCCTGGAACACCTTTACAGTCGGCGTAGCAGAGCATCTGCTCGGGGGCTGCAGTATTTATAAATTAAAATGAGTATCTGTGTGTGTGTGGGGGGGTCAATTCTTTCCTCTCCATGACTCACTTTTCATCCCATTTTTCTTTCTCACTGTCACCCGTATGAGTCACATCTCTCCACAGTGAGCTGAGAGCCAACCATGTTTAATAATAGCCCCCAAAAAATACACGTAGGAAGATAAACCTGATGGCAAAAGGGTAACCACTGTGAGTTCAGAGCCCAGAATAAAATGAGTTTCGATTATACCCTCATTTGGTTCCTGATTATCTCTACATGCAAAGATCATTGATCAGTGACCGTGTATTTGACAATAGTTTGACCACCGATGTAGAATTGTAATAGCTAGTAGGAATGAATGACAAATTTACAAACACTGAAGCTCCCATTTTGAACATAAATGGCTACTATTTTTATAGCCATAAGTGGTTGTAGGCTAAATGTCTTCGTTTTGATATTATCTGTGCACAATTTGTCACCAATACCTCAGCTGTCTATTCAATTGTAAAATAAAGGGTTTTGCAGCTCTGGGTTTAATGGCATGGCACGCAGTGATGGCAGTGACTAAAGAGAAATAAGCAAATGGACCTGTTTGGGAGGGGGCACAGTGTGGGTTAAGATTTCTAGTAGGTGAAATTCATTGTGATTATGTAGCTGGAAAAAAAAAAGGCTGTTAGTATTTTTGACATCTGTATTCCAGCAGAAATATGACACAGGTATTTTGTACTATTTGTTCTAGATAATAAAAGTATCAGAGACAGATCTCTTCCTTCCTCTCTTAGCATACCGCATCTAATATTTATCTTCGCAGGCCAGGCACTTGAAAAGTTTGTATAACTGTTTTCCCCAGTATCCAGCCCATCTCCATTACAGCCACAGACCTCTTTCATATGTCACCTTATCTTCCAACGCAGGAAATAACGCGGGGCATGATCTAGCATTTCTCACCGTGTGAAATGCAGCACAACTCAACCTGAGCTCAGGCCATCAAAGATACGGGATTACATCTCTGTTATTTTCTGGAACTGGGTTTTGGAGAGACCGCTGAACCAGTAGGAAGCCGTATACACTGAATACTAAACTGAATTCAGACTCCTGTGAAGTCGAAGCCCATGGCTGCATGTACTCAAGGAAAGGGGGAAACACACAGGCGCGCTTCTGGGGAACTAGGGCATTTCACCAGCGGGATAGGTATCATTATTTGCTTAAGCATGATACACAAATACAGAGAGAGGGCTTGCCTTACATAACAATAGACGATGCAGCCCTTATGGAGTATTACTTGACTTGCCATAAAATGTCTACATGCCGCTGATATCCATCCCACTCTTCTCTGGCAACCTCCTACAGTTGCCAGAACATCCACCACCTTGAAGGACTCCACTGATCTTTCTCTAGCCTACCGTGTCACTCAAAAACAGCAGTGTGTCAGCCACTATGGCAAATTAAGGCATAACAAAGATTCATGTGTCTCATTTGCTGCACCCTAATATTATATATTATGTACACGCACACTCATGGAGATGGCTTTTCTGTGCAAACTTCCAGGAGCTTAATTCAAACTTTTCTTACTGTAAGTGACTTCACTGAGCATACAAATCACAATAGCTTCACCAATAAAAAGTTGACAATACAGCCTCGGTGGCGTCAGTCTTACTCCAGTTCCTGTAAGTTGAACGGCTCATCAGCAACATGAGGTCAAAAGCACTCAAGGGCTCCTTCGACAGACTTCCTGAGCCATGTCTCTGCCTCCGCTCATTTGTCCTCTCTCAGTCCGATTCCCCTCTCCCCTAATGGACCTGATTACGAAGTTACCCCATGTCCTCAGAGCTCTAATGCTGTCAAACTCAGCGCTCCATTCTCTCTGACTACATTTTTGCATCTCCAACAGTGTCACAGGATGATGAACAGTTCTGTCTTCCCAGAATCCTCCAGCCTACAAAACCTTTGACAAACTTCTCAGGTCACGTGTTGACGAGGGAGGAGATTGCTTACCTTTGGCAGAGATGCCCTGGAGCCTGAACTCTGGGTGGTCATCGTTAAAACCGTGGTGATGCCCAGCGCGACCCGGGCAGGGGCTGCATCCATGTTTATCCAAAAGGAGACCCAGGACAAAATGACTATCAGGAGGCTGGGGATATACATCTGGATCAAGTAATATCCCATCTGGCGTTCCAGGTGAAACTTCACCTCGATGCAGGTGAACTTTCCTGGAAGGCAAGAGATGACGATTTAAAATCCATTTGGAATTGATCTTTTCTGCTATAGACTGCCACTTCATTTTAAAAATAAGAGTATTATGATGGGTTTGGAAGATTTTACAAAGTGCTCACCCTGCATAAGCAATTGAACTCTTTTGCAACTTAACCAGTCATAGAAAAGACAGTATCAGAGGGAGCGTGCTGAGAGGTCACTGAGCAAAACCGTGGGGGATATTCCATTTTCAAAATCTGTGCTGTTTGCAGCTTGATTATTTACACAGAACTTCAGAATTTGCAAGACTGCCATAAACTGACCTAGTGAAATAAAATATTCATATTTTGTGGGGTTACACAGCATCAGATACATAACCTATCACGTATATGTATAGCATATAGTATCCAGCATAAAATATATAGTATATAACATGCAATAGGTAATATTTGAAACCATTCCCTCTGAGGCAGTAAAGTTCACCTGGGCCTCCCAAACTATTTGAATAATTGTATATTTTTGTGATGTCAGTAGCAAGAGGAAAATATATATTTGTATCATCCATGCATATAATCTAGTCATTGTGAAAGTTTCCTAGGCTTTTGGCTAATTGCTTGAGGACGTTTAGAGTATTTCTAGAATCTATTTACAATATTACACTGCCTATAAAAAAGAGTGCACATACAGATATTAAAACCCTGAACAGCCCTGGCTGGTGTAGCTCAGTGGATTCAGCATGGGCTGTGAACCAAAGTGTCGCAGGTTCGATTCCCAGCCAGGGTACATGCCTGGGTTGCAGGCCATGGCCTCCAGCAACCGCACATTGATGTTTCTCTCCCTCTCTCTCTCTCTCTCTCTCTCGCTCTCTCTCTCTCTCTCTCTCTCTCTCCCTCTCCCTCTCCCTCTCCCTCTCCCTCTCTCTCTCCGCCCCCTTTCCTCCCTAAGAATAAATAAATAAATAAATAAATTTAAAAAAAAACTTAAAAAAAAACCCCAACTCTGAACATACTGCTGAGAGATAGATGTTCCTTCTCTCCGCCACTTTCTCCCTCTTTAACTGTCTGGGAGTTAGAGCCCCAGAAGGTAATTTGGCTTAGTCCACACCAATTATAAGAGATAGTCAGGAGGAAGAACCCTGGGAATCAGGTTGCATTTGCTTTGCAGGGAGCACCGTTGACTGCTGAAACAAGAGTTCGTGGACCATTCTGCTCAGCAAGGGACACGGAGCAGTCACGGCACGAACCATCATGTCTCAATTGCCCATGCACAGTCAGCTTCCGTGCTGTCAAAACTGGGACATTCGTATGAAAAGCCATCAATTGTACTGAGCAGGCCTAATATTCCAGGTAACAACAGATGCCCACTGTTGCTACCAACTCAAGTTCTTCCCCCGCCCCGTGCGTCTGTCAGCACTCCTGACAGGGCTTGTCTTCCGAGCCCGCTGAATCCCCGCCAGCTGACTTGCCTCCAAACTCCTATTATTGTCCAGTGCCGGAGAGCACAATAGCTGTGTCCCTGGGTTTGCGGTGATCTATGTTATTACTCCTCTCTTCCACTCAGACAGACAGTGCGAATTGCCTGTGCAATTGCCAATGAGGATTCCATGCCAGAAGGGGCTGCCAGGGAGCTGGCCAGAATTTACACGCTTCCTGCACCCCTTACAAGGTCTCGTACACCTTTCTCAGACTCATTGACAGAAGATGGTCAGCAAGAGAACAGCAGAAGACTCCCAGATCATTTTCCTTCTCTCTGTGTTTTGGAAACATTCTCTGTTGTGCTCGCTGACCTATTCCAGAGGGGGCGGACATCTTATCTGTGGAGGGGGTGTGTGGCTAAGCCCAGGCCCTTCCCTTTAGCTCCATTTCCTTGGTAAATATGCAGCAGTTAAAGCGTTAGCAGCTGAAAGAAAACTCACCAGTATTGTAGTGTTTTGTGCAGTAGCCGAGTTCCTTCTCTTCTTTCAAAATAAACTGAGGCAGAGTCAGTCCTTCGGCAACTTGAACTGGACCATCACTCAGCCACTCAAATATCAGGTCATTCATCGTGTACCCAACTGGGGTAAACAAAGCACAGTGAAAACGTGAATGCTTCTTTCCACGAAACCTTGCAAGATAGGCCACATAAAGAAACAAATAAGCAAATCATCTAGAGCAGACACGTGCTCATTCAGTTCAAGAGAAATTTTAATAAACTGACTGCGGGCATCATGGCATCTCCATGTTATTGGAGCCAAAGAACTTGAAGACAGTAAGCTATTTCTGAATGTTTTTTCCTGTTTAATGAGAAAATAGGATCTTTGCAGTCCATTTTCTTCTGCCTTCTTCACCAAATCTTTCTGAAGAACAAAGAAGTAAACAAACATAACCTTCTGGAGACTGTCTTTACTTGAAAGAGCTCTGTGTGTGGTAATACAATAAGACAATTCATGGTGCTAGCCTTTGTATTTCAAATGAAATACATTCTTTTTTTTCTTTTCAAAGATTTTATTTATTTATTTAGAGGGGAAGAGAGAGAGAAAGAGAAAGAGAGAAATAGGAATGTGTGGTTGCTTCCCACGTGGACCCCACTGGGGACCTGACCGGCAGCCCAGGCATGTGCCCTGACTGGGAATTGAACTGGTGACCCTTTGGTTTGCAGCCCGTGCTCAATCCACTGAGCTATACCAGCCAGGGCCTTTTTTTTTTTCTTTTCAATGAGAATGAATTCATCACAGGCCTAAAACACATTCCCATTGCAACTTGGTCCCTCTCCTAGCGTCTGTTAGCTTTGTTTTCAGGAAACTGATGTTATGGTCTCTGTGGTTACTTTAGTTACTTTAGTAAGTGGGAAGGCTAGAGACAGGGAACCCAAGAAGTCACAGAATATGCAAGTCAAGTATCTTCATTTGTGCTAGTGTCTTGCTAAATGGGTCTACTCATCACAGTGATTCATATGAAGTAAAACATTCTCTACATGTACGACCATATTATTACATGACTCTTGAACCAAAGTAAGATTGCTGTCAGTTTGCTAAACCAAAGTTAGTGCTTAGTCTCCAAGTTCCTGTTAGTTAGGTCATCATCTATAAACTGCTATAAAATGCTTTTGGATCTTTTTGCACTTCAGAAATGAAGGCTACTCTTCCTTCAGACTCAGTTTCCCTCTCCCCTCTCTTTGCTTGTGATATCTGAACTCTAAATTCCGAGTGAGGAGGACAAGGGGTATTATGTGAGGTTTCGATTGGCTGATACATGTTGATTAAGTTTATAGGTTCTTATAATTGTTTCCTGCAACTTAGTGACTCTCCAAACCTACCCAGAATTCAATGGCAACAGCAACTGGAGTCTACTTTCTTCTTTCTTTGGACCGTCTTTTCCATTCAAAGCCGAAAAATGATATGGAAAGCAAGGAACTACAAAGAGGACCCCGTACAAGCATTGGCGGGCCACAGAGAGAATGGCCAACCCTCTTGCCATGCTATGAGTACTTGGGTATCTGCAGCAAGTACTAGAATCTCATCAAATACCCCATATGCTTGCCTGGTGAGCTTCTTGCTGGCCACCGCAGTACTAGTCCCTGTCAGCCAGCCTGAAGACCCAGCCTGGGCAGACAGAAGAGGTAACGAGTTGGGGAAGGAAGAGGTAATAGGAGCTAGAAAAGTAAAGAGTATTTTCTACCCTTCACACTCGAAGTTACTAGTGAGCACATCACTGCTTCTCTGATGTTCCTACTTCTAGGTCCGTCCTGCAAGTATCAACCATGTTCACTAATTGGGGTTTTTTAAGCCTTGAAGGAGCCTCAGATGACAGCTATGATTGCTGTTTTAGAGAGAACACACGTGTTGGGTTGAGGCAGGCGTGAGTGTGGAGCAGTAGAGAAGACACAAAGAAGGAATCGTTATGTCAGGAAATGTGGTTTTTTTTTTCACTTTTTCCTCAAGAGAAGGGGCGATAGGGGAAAATAGAGTACACAAAGTTTATTGTTAATGAGAAATTCTCATTTTATCCCTGACGACTTCTTAAAACAAAGACATTTCATTATGTTGTTTGTGTCTGTAGGAAGTTTCAGCAGAATTCTATGGTGATTTTAAGTGTTTGGTAGGAATCCCTGTCACTGCCTCTTTTTAAACAACAGTCGATGTGTCTTTTAATAATGTATTATTTATCATTTTTCAAAATCAAGAAGTTACAAGTGTTTCCTCATTAAATCCCTTAACATGCCTGCAGGTCAGCGGGACTTACTCGTCTCTACGTTTTACAAACAGAGAAAGTGACAGAACAAGCCAAAACAATTTTATGTCTCTTGCCTGGAAATCCCATTACCTTGGAGGAGTTAGCAGTCTGTGGCACGTGCCAAAGATTTCAGTGGGCTAAGGAGTAAAGGGGACAAAGTAGAGGGCATTTCTCTGCTGTCTTCACCACGCCTTAGCGTACCCACTGCCTCTCATCCCACGCCATCTCCTGCCTCTCAGCTTTGCCTCCTCTTCTGACTCAGGTTCCTGTAATCTTGGCCTCAAATCAGTTACCCCTCCATGCCAAGATTCCTTTGGGGTGCTAGCCTATGTGAGCATAAGCAAGAAACAAATGCACTTTTCTGACTAGAGAGCAATTCGTTACAGAGCTTGAATGACTAATAAACTTAATTTTCCCAGGAGACACTTTCGTTTCAAAGAAAAGCTCATTCAATCAGGACTGGTTTTCAGGAAGGTGAGTGATTTGGCATTTCACTTGGAAAAATGGTCTATGAGGTGTGAGCCATGCACACACACTTTTGCTTGCCCTTTTATTAGGACCCTGGGAGTTGGGAAGTAGGTAGAGAATGAGACTTCTGGGTCTTTTCTCCTTCACGACACAGTACAAACCAGGTTATTGATTTAAAGGGACAGGCAGCCATTTCAACGGTGGTGACTTACAGCTCTCCAGCTGCATTGTACAAGTCTGGACATCCATTGGGAAGTTCTTCAAGTCCATGGGGCAGGATAAGGTCAACGTGAGCCTTAGGAAAATACAAACATAAATGCATAAGTCAATAAATAAAGAAATCAGCAATTTTTAAATGTGTGAGGTGCCATTCTTGAGAAACACACCAAAAATACATTTGGTATTAAAGCAAAGTAACACTGATTCAGACAATGAAATCTAAGCTCATTCAGGGCACTGCTTTTTAATTTTTCAATGCCTTTTATTTATAAAATTTACCACCATTGGTAGAATGTCACTATAATCCCTTATGCTCTAGTTTCCGTCTTCTAACCTCTGACTCCTACTTTCTCCACTAGTTGAGAGTCACAAGTTTATTCTAGAATCAACAAGAGCACTGAGAAATCATGTAACCAGGACAGTGGGCTCTTACGCACACTGCTGTCCATAAGACAAACAGTTTATATTGTTTCAGATCTATGCTTTGGACAGGAAGACTTTGCTTCAATGACAATGAAGGATGTGATAAGTGTTATTGGTTGTGCTTGAACATCGGTCCCATTTTCCCCAAATGAGTGAATGGTAACTCCAATGTGATTTCATTTGCTAATCTATGTGGTTGGGTGAACGATATATTGCAGCATTCATTCTAGAATTTTGGCAAATCTGGAGCACGTTAATTCTTGAGCTGAAAGAAAAACATTTAAGGATAGTGGCTTGTCCATGGTCTTCACTTCTGAGCACCCCAGAGGGCTACTCTGCTCCCCCCTTTTCCTTTATCCTTGATTTGTCTGAGCTCCCGCCAGCTCTGGTCCAGCCTTATGGAGCCGCGCTCTTGTTTGAACCACCATCTCTTTTCCACCGTTTCCTCTTTTTAGTCCTGAAAGAGATGGTGCATACCTATCGCTCTTCAGTTTCTTTACTTCTGAGATTCAGGAAGGAAATTAAGATGGAGAATTAGCATATCTGGGTTCCCTCCCCAGTATTGCCTCAAACTATCTCTGTCCCCAAAGCAAGACCTTAAACTTAATAAACATTCGTCTCTTTATCAAATGATGGGATAGGATAAAATGATGCGTATTCTCATTTAGCTGCAACACTGGAATCCCTGTTGTCCTCAAGTTCACTGCTCCCATTTCTGTCTCTTTCTCTGAAAAATCCTTTATATCCATAGGCCTCTCTGATTCGGGCATTGTAGCTGAAGCGCCCCCTTGCTGGCGTGCCCATTCTCACTCTCTCCTACTGGTTCTCTTCTCTTTTCTTCCTCTGCTTCATTTTATACATTCTATGGAAGCCGAGATGAAATGAAAACGAGTGGCATTTACTTTAAAGAAAGAAAAGATTTGGGGTTTAAAGTGTGATTAGACATCAAAAAAAATCGACGCTGACCATCTTCAAACTAGTTAAAATCCAGCAGAGACTGGGAAAAGCAAGACACAACATACTGCAGTGTAATCTCAGTTATGGGAAAATATGTTTTCATTCTTGGAGATAAGTACAACACTGTAAGAGTAGATATTTTTGGTTGGTAGGATGATTCATATTTTGTTTTCCCTACTTATTTTGTATTATCTGTATGGACACATACAGGTTATTTGAAGATGTCTTTCATGTAATTAAACACATCTTCAAACAATAGCTGAAAGGTAAAATTATACAATTCTGTTTTATTCAGTAATCTTGTGCTACTGCTATTATAATATTTTTATCGTTATTTATTTTTTTTCTATAAACGTGATATTTTACCTTCATTTCTATATAAGTTCCCTAGCTTTTGTGGACTATTCTGCGAATACAAATACCACGTTTCTAAAGGGAAAGAATAGATTTTTCAATTCTCAACAGTTGACCTAATAACATTTTAGAAAAAATAATTTTTGTCAATCATGGACTTCATTTAGAGATATAGATATGATACAGGTATTTAGAATTTTTCCCAGCATACTAGACTTTATATTTTGGAAAATACAGTTTTATTGAGATTAATGGCATGAACTCTTTTAAAATAAAAGCAGAGTAAAGGGAGCAAAATGAAAGTCTTCAGTAATCACTTTGTAAAAATCTGGTACTTTATTAAGGGATAAAAGCCTCAAAAGAATCTATGGGTTTAAAATTGTTATTCACACAAGGAGAATCTATTCCTTTCTGTTTTTTAAAGAGGAAATATTTTCAAGCCCTGGCTGGTGTAGCTCAGTGGATTCAGTGCAGCTGCAAACCAAAGGGTCACCGGTTCAATTCCCAGTCAGGGCACGTGCCTGGGTTGCGAGCCAGGTCCCCATTATGGGGTGTGCAAGAGGTAGCCACATATTGATGTTTCCCTCTCTTTCTCCTTCTCGTCCCCTCTCTCTGAAAAATGAGTGAATGAAATCATTTTAAAAAGGAGGAAGTATTTTCATCAAACAAAAATATGTTTGCCATACAAAAATAATCAGTGGGCACGTACAGAATTTAAGTGTATGCCAACCAGAACATCTGGAAACTTCTTACAAGAAATTAGAAAGGAATAATAGTGAGCAAATACGGTTTCAAAAGCATGCAACATCGAATTCAACTGTATTTCATTGGCTGTTGGAAACAACCTAATTTTAATATTGTTAATCATAGGTTTTCTAAATGTGACTGTTCCGTGAAGGGAACTGTTCACCTTTATTTAGGGAGCAGAGGCCTCACACAGTCATTTCCACCTTTGAGACAGATCTGGGAATTCTTGGGATCAAACTATTACCAGCGTGGAAAACTCTACTGAGAGAGATTCCCAACCAGCATGCAACTGTCTCTGAATTCTGTCTCAGCTGAGAACTCAGTGGGTATTTCCCTTCTTCCTCATTTCCTTTCTAATTTCCTTTCTAGATAGGCTTAGCATTGGAACCCCTTGCATGCCAGTAGCTGGGAAGAAAGCGAACAGATCCATGGTTTGCCGAATCATGTCATCAGCTGAGCGGATGGGAAGCCGTTGTGGAGATCTACATCAGTCCCTTCCTTCATCAGCTACAGACCCCGTAGTTTAGGACGTTCAGTTTACTCCGCACCTGCAGGCCTAAAATGCATACTTGCCCTTTCCTTTTTTCTTTCCCCTTTTTTATGGGAGTTACTATGAAAGACAGTACAATTACAAATATTGTTGTACTGTGATGACTTTTTTTTTTCAGTGTGCAGATGATGTTTTTTTGATGTGTATACTTTTTTTTTATATCTCTATCCACCCAGATCCAGATGTAGAATATTCCCATCACCCCAGGAGGTTCCCTTGTGCTCTCCTCCCGGTCAAGGATCTTCAAAGGTAACCCCCACTGCTTTTATTTCTTTAAAGGTGTTTTTTTGATTTAAAAATATTTAGGGGGAAAACGGGCTTAATATTTTGCACAGGTGCAAATTGCATCCAAGGAGACTGACACGTTATGGCATCCTTTTCTCTGGATCTCCGTGTATTTTTGGTGGGTCTCATAGAAAGTGTTTTCGTTGAAACTCAGGCTGTGTGCTGGCAGACACTGTCGACAGCACGTCAGCTTTGCTCTCTCCTTTTTGCCACAATCTAAAATATGAAGGTCATTGCATCTAAGGGCAGCGAGCTGAGGCTGCCCATCTTCCATTCAATTTTTGTTAGAGAACTTATTTCCTAAAGCATTGCCACACCCCCACCCCCACCCTCACGGTCTTTGTGGCCAGCATACAAGCTCCTGTTTGCTCAAGGGAAGGAATAAAGTTTCGTTACAGAGAGGCCCTGCTTCTTTACTGAGAGTAAGAGCCTGAGCAAACATTTCGATTTTAGAGGCAAGAGAATAAAACACAGCATAGGAGTCACACTCCCCAAATCTCACCTCCCTTCCTCACTACTCTCATTTTTTTTTAAGGTGTTGGCTATATGCAACTAGTTTTAAAGATTTTATTTATTTATTTTTAGAGAGGGAAGGGAGGGAGAAAGAGAGAGAGAAACATCAATGTGCAGATGCTGGGGGCCGTGGCCTGCAACCCAGGCATGTGCCCTGACTGGGAATCGAACCTGCGATGCTTTGGTTCGCAGCCCGCGCTCAATCCACTGAGCTATGCCAGCCAGGGCACTACTCTCATTTTCAGTCCACCTTGCTCATACAACCAGCTCTTGGGTTTATACCTCACTTGAAGTGTAAATGCCCAGTAGATGCAGACAGTGTAGATGGTTTCAGTTCCTTTTAGATTTTTAAACCAAATGTTATATTTTTATATTTTTTATTTCCTTATTTGTTCTGCATTACAATGCAAGAACCACATAGGCTGGGACTCTGTTCTTTACCATCTAAAACAGTGCCTGGCACAGAGTAAAGGATTCATAAATATTTTGTACAATTTTTTAAATGTATTTTTTAAAAGATTTTATTTATTTAATTTTTAGAGAGGGGGAGGGAGGGAGAAAGAGACGGAGAGAAACATCAATGTGTGGTTGCCTCTTGCACACCCCCTACTGGGGACCTTGCCCACATGTGCCCTGACCAGGGATCAAACTGGTGATCCTTTGATTCGCAGGCCGGTGCTCAATCCACAGAGCCATGCCAGCCAGGGCCATAAATATTTGTTGAACAAATAGATGAATCAGTGTCCTAAAGTTCTGTGGGAGAATTTCAGGCATTTATCCTGCAGAAATGGGAAACCGTAAAGCATTTAGAACAGAGGAGCCTGCTCATGAGAGGCTGTAATGGTATCGCCAACTTACAAGCCAGGCAAAGGAAGCCAGCATAACTCACCTGGCCCCTTCTGTAAGCTGCTAGCAGACCCCCACTAGAAATAAAGTGAATCATGACGATGGAAAGCTAGCAAGTTTCTCCACCTGTCTTTGAGCTTCGGTCAGGTAGCTGGGTCCATGGCTAGGACTGTTTTCACATTGCTAGAAAGAGTCAAATTCATTATTTAGCTTTTCAGCATTTTGGTGGTCAGAAGCACCTTGGTTCATACTGGTTCATAAGGAACTCAGTGGTGGTAGAATTGGGAGTTTATTCCTAGTGAGAGGTTCTTGAGGAAAAGAAAACCATTTGAAGAGTAAAGACCATTTCAGATAGAAATGCAAATTTTAATGAGTGATCTGCTTGCCTAAGGCAAAGATTG